AAACTGGGGAAAATTCCAGTTTTATTAAGCAGGTAGGAAAAACCGTAACTAAAGGCAAGGTGCTTTTGAAAACTCTTGCTTAGTCCTCTCCCTTTTTTGCAAAAAAAGCTCTTTCTCCACCCTTCAAAATACAATTTTCTACCACAGTCACTACAGCAAATACTTCTCCTGTTCACCCCAGCTATTTTTTATCGTTTCAGGTTCTCTTCCTTTGCAGCAACTGCCATTAAAGATGGGTAGATGGTGCCTTGGAAGATGGCAGTAAGCAATCTGAAATGTTTTACTAATTCCCATTGTCACAAGGATCTAGTGAACGGTGAAGTCAAAGTCTATGTATGTCAGATAGAGCTTCAGAAACTTCTGCTTTTGCTGTTTCCTTCTCTGCCCTTGCCACCAGTTTCCACTCTTTTCTAACTCCATGGTGATCTGAAAGCCAGCCCGGAAGAAAATTAACTCATTTAAAAAAAAAAAAAAAGTGAAATATCCTTTCATCAGTGTAGCTTTTTGAACTGACTCTTTTTTTCCAGAGTCAGATGACTGCAAGTGCTGATGTGAGGGATGTGGACTATGGAGCTGGAGAGGATGAACAGTAAGATTCTGGCAATGCCAGTACAAATTAGCTTAAAAGTTACGTTGCAGCCTTATGCTCCTGCTTGAAGTCCTCTGAATGAAATATCTGAAACAGTTTAACTTAGACTAAACACTCTATCTTTTGTCCCTTTCTGAGGCCATACAGTGTTATCTAAGCAAGGGCTCCAGCTGGGCTGAAGACGACTTGTTAAAAATGTGCAGTCACATTTTGATTAGTTGAAGAAGCAGCTTTTTAGAGCAATAGGACTGGGGGAATATTAACATACCTATGTGGATTTATTTTACTGTGTTATGCACTTGGAACGTATTTGGGGAAAAGATGAAGCTGTGCAGCTTACTTTTTAAAGAAAAATAACGGAGTTTATTAGTTCTATAAGAAACGTCAAGCAAAATAAGTTGATGTAGTCTGTACCTTATGTTCAGTCACCATGAATCACATCCCATATTAATAAAAATAGTCAGAGGTGGCCAGCACCACTAACACAACTGTTCTCTGGTTAATTAGAGACAATTGTGAAAATTGCTATTTTGGCGGATATCACAGTGCTTCCCAGAGTAAATTCAGCAGGTTATTTCACCAAGTCTATTATGAGAGATAAGAGAAAATTTATAGAGAGGGTGAAGGTAGATATAATGAATCCATTTGAAAAATCTACACTCTATTTTATATATTTTGAATATACATTGTTAATTATATTAAAATAAAATTAGTCAGATTGAATGCAGTGAAACAAAAGGGCTATAATTGTGTTTTAAAGAGTCTCATGAAGATTCCTCCAGGTTAGGTGAATCCCTAGGGTCCAAGCAGCCTGTTTTATTCTGCTCTTCTGACATTTATTAGCATGTGACTGTGCCAAGACATAGGCGAGATGCTTCTGCAACAGAGTCTAACCAGATATACTAAAGCATATTTAAAATAATTGCCTGTATGCTTCACTCCCACTCTTAAACAGATAGACACTGATGCAGTAGATTGCACCACACAGAATTATTTAGCCTGTCTCCAGCCTGGAGCTTAGAGGGAAGCTCGATTCCAAAATGAAGAATACTAGGAAAGCATTTAGGGGAAATAATGGTACTTAAGAAACTGGACAAAATTTGTGTGTTTTTGCCCTCTGGATGTATGTTCTATTTTAATTCAACTCTGTTGTCTTCATCATGACTTACCGACAAAGAAGAACTCTGTGAAAGTGACCACAATATGCTTTAAACATTGGCAGCAGCAACAACAACAAAAAATATTAAAAAGTAATTATGATTGCGGTCAACTCCTTAAAGAACTACCTAAGAATAATGCAGCTTGTTAAAAATATGCTAAAAAGGGTAGCTAAAAGATGATTAAATGCTGACTAAAAGAGTTAAATCTCCGCCAGCAGCATGAGCACAACTTAGAGACTATACAGAAGGTAAAAAGGATATGCATGCTTCCTGTCATGAAAGATTTGAGAAAAGCAAAAGGAAGCCAGCATGGCTAAACAACAGTGCAAGAAAGATTAGTAAATGCAAGAAGGCAAGTTTGAAAACGTTGAAGTGGTGTCCAAATATGGAAACTAGAGAGGACGAAACCTTGGCAGGTTAAATATAAAACCACAGTAAGGCAAACGAGAAGACCACTTGAAGAAAGTTTGCAAAAAACAACAATAAATATTTTTTCAAAGGTATCAGGCACAGGAAGTCTGTCAGGGAGTCCAGAGAGCCAGCAGATATTCAGAGGATAAAAGGAGCACTCAGGGAAGACAGGGCCATAAAAAAGAAACAAAATTAATCCTCTATTTTTGCGTTCACTGTGGATACATGTGAAAAGGGTCTCAGGCCAGAAACCTTCTTTACTGGGAACTCGTTACAGGAGCTGTAATTTAAGCATTGGTAGAAGAGTCTACGGAAGAAATAGATAAAATTAATGATAATAGCCAGGACCAGATGTCATTCACCAAAAAACTCAAGGACAAAACAGCTTAGCTGGTAAGTGTGATGTGCAACCTTTGAATTAGAAGTGCCTAAGCACCCGTGGACTGGGAGGGGGCAGATGTGATGCCTGTTTCTAAAAATGGGTTCCAGGACAGACCCAATGAGCTAGAGACTAGTAAGCTTACCGTCTGCACTGGACAAATTGCTGATAATTACAGCAAAGACCAGAATCAGGAGACACAAACAAATACAATATACTGCAGAAGAGCTCAAGGCGTTATTGGGAAGGGAGGCTTTGCCTTACCAGCCTCCTGGCATTCTTCGAAGGAGGCAACAAGCTTGTTCTTATCTCAACCCAGGAGTTTTCTCACTTTTACCCCTCCAATTCTCTTCTCCTCCTATCCTGCTGGAGGCGGGGAGTGAGCGAGCGGCTGTGTGGGGCTCAGTTGCTGGCTGGGGTTAAACCATGACACAGCTGCTGCAGTCTACCTGGATTTCCAAAAAGCATCCAACGAGGTGTTTCATCAAAAGCTTTTGTGGGGACTTAGACTAAGAGCAAACATTTGCTCATGAAATAAAGACAGGATAAAGATAGGAAACACCAGGTAGGATTAATTTGATCCCTGGAAGAAGGTCTACATGTTTGCATGCTGGGACTGTGCTGCTCAAAATTTCAGAAAATAGCAAGGTGACAGTGCTTCCTGTGACTATTACATTATTCAAGGATAGTAAAGATAAGCATCAGCTATGACGCATAGAAGGAAAGCATGAGAGGTAGTGACTGGATGTTAAAATGGCAGGTATGATTCAGTGAAGATAAATGTAAAGTGCTGCACAAGAGAAAACAAAAATGTTAATGGACCTATACCCCACAGGGATGAGTTCGAGGATTACAGTAGATGTTTCTGTGCTCAGTATTCAGTAACTATCAGAAAAACAATGTTGAAAGTATTAAGAAGAAAACAGAGAGCATCATTATGCCACTGAATAGACTGTACCCTCTTTCTTCAAATAAGAAGAAGTAGGATTCATCACATAAAACTAGTGATTGGCTGCTCAAAACAACAAGGTAACATAGCTGAGCTATGAAGCTTTTTGCCACAAAATTTTCAAAGAGTTAATGAAAGACAAGATGATCAAAGGCTATTAAAATTATTATCATCCCTGACACAGAAATTTAGGCACTGACCCACAAATTCTTGGAAGTCAGGAGAGGATTCTGGGGAAGCAATACTATAGGTTGTCTCTACTTCTGTATTTGTTGTCCTGGAGAAGAGAAGACATAGGACGGACCTAATAGTTGTCTTCCAAAACCTAAGAAGAGGCTACTGAGAAGATGGAGGTTAGACTAAAGATCTTCTGATGTTCCCTCCAACCTGAACGATGTTGTAATTCTATGATTCATTAAGTTTCGGCACTGCTGGAGACAGGCTGCCAGGCTAGCTGGGCTTTGGTTCAATCCAGTATACCAATTCTCATCCTATACACATGTATGCATTAGAACACTGTTAGAAACTCAAGGTCAAGCTCAAGCTCAGTAGCAATTCACCATCTCTGCAAGCTGAATGACACCAAGTGTCACTTGCAGCTTCAAGAAATAAAACTGGCTTTCTGAGTTTTACCTTCATGCTTTCAAAAAGAAAAAAATATTCAAGTACTCACAAATAATATAGATTCGAATGCAATATTTGAGTCATCTAAGAGAAAATCAGTATCAGAGAGAAACTCATGGACAAACTGAATGTTTATCCATTTTTGGTAAATAATGAAGATAGCGGTTTAATTGGCAATTTAAAAGCCAGTCACAGGACTGACATATTGCTGCCAAAAATGTGACGTTCAGGAAGAACAAGCAAGGAAAAATGGGAGAAGGCACTCTACTGTAAATTAAGACTGCTATATGTTGTAATAGATGTACAACATACTAGATGTATAAAATATATTACCTGATATACAGGAAGAGCTGAGAAGCTCAATGGAAGACTGTCCACAAATGAAAGTAAAAGTGAAAAAAGAATATGTATATTGTCAGGACATGAGACTACTATGGCTACGTCCATTTGAAAGAAGTTTTTTTCCCCAGACTCTCCATAAGATATTGCAATATACTCAGGCTCACTGTTTTATCTTAGAGGTAGAGGGAATTATTAGGGGGCTACTGATTTAGAAGACTCTAACAGATAGAGGAAGCAGTTGAGAAGAGGAAAACGGACAATCATTTGTATGCAACTGATCAGAAATACTGCAGTACCACTCTAAAAAGAGCAGGGAAGGGAAGGAGTGAAAGCAAGAGAATAATGACAATAAAACAGATGTTATAAAATCCAATTCAGGAACGTGTGGTTTTGATCTCCTGGGAAGGTACAGGAAGGGAAAAGAAAAGTAGGAAAGCGAGAACTTACTGAAAGAAATCTTATCAAACACACAAGTAGTCTGAGACACAAAGAAGAGAGGAGGAATGGCTTTTGCTTCATTAGGCACAACTGAAGCAGAAACGAATCATGCAAGAGGTGGAACTCGACAAAAGGCACATCAGAAAGAATCGGTATAAAGGAACAGAAGTGCACAGGGTAAATCAAGTGATATTGTTAAGACATTTAGAAGTAGCAAGTGAAGAGAGCTGGATGAGAACAGAGAGGAGTTAGCAGGAGTGCTAAAAGACAAAGCAGCGTGGCATCAAGGGAAGGCCAACAGAGGACTGTCCAGGTCTGAATCCCATAACTCCCAATTCTACAGAAATTTGGCTGTGCAGAATAAGAGCTGGGATGGACAAATACTCAGGAGCTGTGTAGAAACTGCAGGCCTGGGCTATATTAAGGATATGACATTTTTTCTGCCATTTCAGGATTTCTGCCATTTTGTGCAGAAGGAGAATCCAGTCAGACTTGACGGCTATAAGGCACAGTAAATTAAATAATCTGGCTTGGGTTCTCTTGAATAGTGTGCTGGTTTCGTCTGGGGTAGAGCTAATTTTCTCCACAGTAGCTGGTATGGGGCTGTGTTTTGGCTTTGTGCTGGAAGCAGCGCTGATAACCCAGGGATGTTTTCATTATTGCTGAGCCGTGCTCACACAGAGCCGAGGGCTTTTCTGCTTCTCCCCCCACCAGCGAGGGGGGCACGAGGAGTCGGGAGGGGACAGAGCCGGGACAGCTGACCCCAGCTGACCCCAGGGATGTTCCAGCCCATGGGACGTCATGGGGGAAGACGAAGGAAGGGGGGACGTTGGGAGTGATGGCGTTTGTCTGCCCAAGTGGCCTCTTTGCGTGCTGGAGCCCTGCTGTCCTGGAGATGGCTGAACGCCCGCCTGCCCGTGGGAAGGGACGGATGGATTCCTTGCTTTGCTTTTCTTCTGCGCATGGTTTTTGCTTTCCCTATTCAACTGCCTTTATCTCAACCCACGAGTTTTCTCACTTTTACCCTTCCGATTCTCTCCCCCATCCCTCTGTGGGGGGAGTTAGCGAGCGGCTGCGTGGGGCTGAGTTGCCGGCCGGGGTTAAACCTCGACAAATAGTCACTGCTCAAAGTAGCCGGGGCTGGTGAGTGCCTAGAAGGATACGTTTGTCACAGAAATTATTGCACTGACTGACGAGCCTTTTGGACCTCTCCTGGCTGAAGGCTGGAGCACCAGGAATGACAACAGCATAGCTTGGGTACTCTGTGATAGGGGTGATAATGTGATTCGCACTGACATCTTGAACATATGTACTGTCACATCACAGCAGAAAGTAGACATTTCTGTACACATATATGGCTTCTATGGGAAGGCAACGCAACAGAGTTACTCAGAAGTACTGCATCCAGAGTTACCAATACAGGAATGACTCAATGAAAATCCAATTTTGTTTGTATCTGCAGTGCTATTAATTAGGGGGCTTTTTTTGTAGACTGATAGTCATATCCATGAATATGATTCAGTGATCTGTGGCTCACTTCATGGACACATACAAATCTTTCATTCACATTTGTTTTACAGAAGTTGAGTGTTTTCTGAAATCTTGAATACCTCCTTCATATGTATGAAACTAGCTATTAAAATGTTTCAGAGTGCAAAATCTTAACATATTCCATAAATTCTGCCTTATAGGTCTCACTTAAATATAAAATATGCAGTACTGTAAACAGCAGTACCGTATACACTTGTTTAGGAAAAGAAAGGCTTCTGGTCTTGTCAGCAAACACAGCACTCTTACTCCTTGCCCTTTATAAGCCCTTTAATGACATTTAAAAATGCAGGAATCAGTGCTTTGTCAAAAACTTAGGTCAACATTTATGTCCTAAGTTTGTAGCTATTTCTCCTTTTTCTCTATGCTAATTATGAGTAATTATCCTGCTTCAATGCTTTTTTAAAAACATGAGGCTTTTACGAAATCTATCAAATCTAAGTTCATGTAAAAAACAATTCTACATAAAAGAAAATCAAGTATTAAGCTATTCCATTTAGTTTTTTGAAGTAAAGCTCTACAGTACCTTTTCTATAATATAATTTCTCTGCAGTCTTTCTAATAGTCTAGTGATAGTTTAAAAATTTAAAAAGTTGTCTTAGCTCTCAGCTAGAACTCTATTGAGAATGAAAATGTGCAACAAGTAAGACTCCAGCAGGTTCACCCACCTTCTTAATGTGGCCCTCATGACTGCGTATCCAGTTCTGGGAGATACTGGTACCACTCTTACTAATGTATGCATGTCACCAACATCAAAGAGTGCTTCCCTTCAAATAGGGAAGGGAAAGTATTCACCATGAGCTAAAAACAAAGCCTTATCCATAAGGAATTTATACTGAGGCTCATGCTTGCACTGAGTGGTCAAGTGATGGGGAATGTTACTACTAAATTGATCAGCTTCTTCATAAATTCAAAAATTACATTACTTGGGATAAATCTGCACAATTAAGGTTCAAACAGGCAAAGCAATAATGCATTGGAATATATCTCTCTCACTTCCAGTGAGTGTTTGTAGATAGCATTCATGTTCTCTTGTTCATTTTACAAAAAACGCAGGATGCCAAGTCAAACACTATGAAGAACATGCAAGAGCAAAATCTCTTTTCCCCAAATGATTGACTGTTCTGGGGACACAGTGTGATTTTTCTACTGAAATAGATTACAAAAGGCTTGTGATTCTCTGATTTTCAAATCACTATGAAGTTGTTATTGAACGGATCCATTTAGACGAAACAGAATTTGCTGGGCTATAGTCATGTGACAGGTTGAAATTTTATGCTGTATGTGATACATGACATTACAGTATGTGATTCCCTTCTCATCTGTGTGCAGACTGTAATGATGAAAATTATATAAAACATTATCTATATAAAATAAATATAAAATATATAATGTATAACATATACAACCTATAATATGTAATATTTAATATGTACTATGATATCTATTTATATAATCATATGATATCTATCATATAATCAAAAAACAGATCCAAAAGGAGAAAAACTTTCAAACACAGCAAACATTGCCTAATTAAATACATAGCATAGTATGAGAAATAAGTGGGAAGACTATGAAAACATCTGGAATTCATTCACTAGATACAACAGAAAATCAAAACAAACACCAAAAAAAAGTTAAAAAGTAAGAATAAGTTTATTCTTTCCCTATCTGGGTTTTTGGTTTTGGAGTTAGGATTTTTTTGGTCTTATATGGGCTATGATATCAGAATTTTTAAACAGAATTACGTTATAACAGAAATAATGTAAGCAAAAAATTCTGTTTGTTCAGCATATGTTTAATACATTTGTATAACATTAAATATAATAACTTTCTAGATAAGAATAGATAAATGACATTATTCATATAACTATTCAGGAGTGCAGCACCAGAGCTGTTCAGGAACCGAGCAGCAGAGCTTAATTATCCAGTCAATAAAGATACTGTCTTAGAACTTAATGTCTTTTATATTCTGCGACATGGATTTCTTCAGTTTCATCACTTTGAGCTCAACCAATAAACAAGATCCAAAGGGTACATAAGGTCTATACCTCTGAGCTTTTTATGCCCACTGGCAAGCTCAAGAACTGATCAAAGTTAGAGCTCCAATTGTGCAATGAAGCAAGAGTGTCTAAAAATGCATCTGTTTTGTGGAGTGCTTTTTGCTTCCCAGGAAATGATGGCACGAAGCACGCATTCCCACCAAACAACTCTATAAAATATAAGCCTCTAGGTGTTCCCATAGACATCATCTACCACAGACTATTTACACTTTCCTCTTTCTAGCTGTGGGCTAGTTCCATGGAAAGTCTTAAGAGCCTATAAATCTCTCATCGGGCAGCTAAGGCTACATCTATGCTATCACGTAATTCAGCAAACGAAAGGAGATTGGCAGACTGAAGCTGCTGATGCCCCTACATCCACCTTATGTATGTTCCACGGCTTGTCCTCCAGACTAGATCTGCTCTGATGCCTTGAACTGAACATCCCCATCACGGACATGATTCACAGCTGCTCCAAGGACAGGTCCGTGGTTTGGACCACCCCTAAGGGCTAGAGCACATCTGTAAGTTCCTGGAGAAAAGCTTCTTGTTTAATTTCACACAGATGGAAAGCAGTATGCGTGCACAAAACTTGCTCTAGAAACCAAGCCAAGGTGCCTTAAGTGGGGATGAGTAAGAGTTTCAAAACAAAACTACTGCACTGAATCAACACATTCGTGCACATGAAGCCTATATCCAATACAGGAGCGTCAATGGTCTTTTCACCTGACTGCACACAGTATAATTTCTGTTGGTGAAAACCTAGTTCAAAACTTCAGTTGTGCAAGCAAAACCGAATTCTACCTTCATCCTCAGAGCAGCAAAATTTGCCTTCCTATGAGAACTGGACATACTCCATTGACACCACCCTCCTGGAGGGTGAAGGTAAAGCCCTGCCGAGAGGGCTGGTGTGGCTGCAGCACAGCCACCTGCAGGGGAGGAGAGGAGGGGGCTTATGGCCAGGAATCGCCTGCCTTGCCGTGTCTCCCATTCCTCCTCCCATTGCCGGAGCTCCCCACTATTAGCTGTTAGCTCCAGGCACCTACCCCTAAAACAACTGGAAGCGCGTTACCTGTTCTCCTTAACGTTCTGTGTGATATAATTCCATGCTTCTTGGACTGCAGAAGTCACCCTGCAGAGAACTGCCTGTGCTGTGGAAAAAAGGCATAGGCAGAATTAATGCGAGGTGCGGCTGATCCTGGCCAAGCAGGGTTGACTTGGAAACCGGGTGGATGCTTTAAATGCTGTACAAGGTAATGAAGTGAAAGCCCCAAATCTCCAAGTCGCGCAACTCAATTTGTGTTAACGGGCAATAAAAATTGTCGGATGCATATCACTGTCACCGTCAAGGAAGACAGGCGGGTGCTAAAGGCCAGCTGTGTGATAAAATGATTGTAACTGGAAGACTTGGTGGAATGAAAGCTAGGGGAGGGAAAGACAGCACGGTTGTAGAGCAGTTTTGCGTCTCAGGTTGAGTACAACGATTAGATAAACCTACAATTTATCTGTGAATCTTTTTCCAGGTCAACTGCCGTAATGTTTCTTTCACTCACAGCCTTATTTAGACAGTAATAAGGCAAACACCAA